GATTTCAACTAAATTTGGTCTGAAACATCATTGAGAGTGGGGAAACATTTCTTTAATTTTGAAAGTTGATTTAATCGTTAAAATTTGGGAGCGGGGCCCTAAAAGGAGAAGTTAGGCAATATTTTATTTCAAAATGCTTTTCTTTTTTAATGCTCTAATTGATTTCATTCAAATATGGTTTGAAACATCATTGAGAGAAGGGAATCATTTCGTAAACTCAGAAAGTTGATTTGACCCCTAGGGACTTTGGGGCAGGGCTCCTTAAGGGGAAATTAGTCAATATTTTGCTTCAGAACAAACTCCTCTTTAATGCTTTAATGGATTTCAACCAAATTTTGTCTGAAACGTCTTTGAGAGTGGGGAATCATTTCTTTAATTCAGAAAGTTGATTCCATCCCTAGGGAATTGGAGATGAAGCCCCTAACGGGGAAAGTTAGTCAATAGTTTGCTTCAGAATACTAAGTCAATAGTTTGCTTCAGAATAGTACTATTTCTTAATGCTTAAATGAATTTCAACAAAATTTGATCTGAAACATCATTGAGAGTGGGAAGTCATTTCTTTAATTTGGAAAGTTGATTTGGCCCCTATGGATTTGGGGATGGGGCCCCAAAAGTGGAAAGTTAGTCAATACGTCCGGAGTGTTGATCAAAAGATATTTTATATGTCAGTCAACATGGTTTACAGGTTAGATAAATGGTTTTGTGAGAAGCCTTGGAAGAAGTGGGAGGGTTATATACCCTTTGTAACAAAGTTTATGGTGATGGGTTTATACAGCTAAGTCCATCTCTGTGGTATTTACGGCAATGCTGTTACAAGTCATGTTTGATGTATTTGGTGAATGCTTTTGTGCGCTTCATAACACAGCAATTACTCTTCAACTGAATGTATTAGAAACAAGACCGACGGCTTGTTTCCGAATTTAGACGATCAATAACTTGATACAGACCCCATATGATAATTGTATCTGTTACTGCGGTTCATTTACTGGAAGAGATCACTTACTTATTACCAGGTGTTGGAAATTTTGGATAAGAGATAGACTAATGAATCAAAGTAATTCAGAAATGTATTATTTCATTCCCTAAATAACTTGTAACCAATTAGAAGGGAGATTTTACTGTTGCCTAGATGAACAAGGAGATGATATTGCGATATATATAAAAACCTCAAGAATAAGTCTTAATTCTAAAGATTTATAATAATACTTGTACCTAACCTTAGGTTTAATGATGCATGTATTGAATATAGGATTAAAGTGACCTAACTACAATTATGTGATTAAAGTTTGTAACCACAGTTATTGGATTAAAGTCACCTAACTACAGTTACAGGATTAAAGCTACTTAACTACAGTTACAGGATTAGAGCTACTTAACTACAGTTACAGGATTAAAGCTACTTAACTACAGTTACAGGATTAAAGCTACTTAACTACAGTTACAGGATTAAAGCTACTTAACTACAGTTACAGGATTAAAGCTACTTAACTACAGTTACAGGATTAAAGTCACCTAACTACAGTTACATGATTAAAGCTACTTAACTACAGTTACAGGATTAAAGTCACCTAACTACAGTTACAGGATTAAAGCTACTTAACTACAGTTACAGGATTAAAGCTACTTAACTACAGTTACAGGATTAAAGCTACTTAACTACAGTTACAGGATTAAAGCTACTTAACTACAGTTGCAGGATTAAGGCTACCTAACCACAGTGATATGATTTAAGCTACCTAACTACAGTTATAGGACTGAAATTAATTAATCACAGTTCTGGATTTAAGCTACCTAACTACAGTTATTGGATCAAAATTACTTCTCCTTGTCTATAGGATTAGTGTTGGTCTTATCTTTGTTAATATAATGATATAATAAGTAACAAATATGTAAACTGAAGGTAAGAGCATACAGCAATGTACCTCAGATTTTATAATGAGCATTGCCTTAGCAGATATCTTGGTATGGATTAAATACCCAAATAAGTCATAGATTTGTAAACCTCCTCCATGTGCTAAACAATTCACTCATGTACTTAGCATTGTCCAAGAACAATAGTAAGCTTTTCCAAATTTTAAATATTTCAGATCCAAATAAGACTTTGGATTGGAAGATTTAATTTAATTTTCAGGAAATGCTTGGTAGACTATTTGCCTTTCCCTTGTTTATCTAACATCAGTCAATGATTGCTTCCATAACACTGACTATAGACAATTGAAAATGTATTTTTGGGAAGTTATTAGTAAAAGCGTACATGCAGAAAATGGACCTATTGGAGGGTAGCGTATGCCCAAGACTACGTTCTTGATTTATTGTTACATCAATTGATAAAGAGACCCACAACAGTTAAATGGGACAAATCCTAGGATATCAACCTCCATCATGTTTCATCTGGCTAGAAATAGGTTTCAAAATAAATTAATTTAATAACATCCAGTTTTTTCATCTGATTTGGAAGAGAAGTGCTTGATTGAAGATTTTCGTTGAAATGGGATAAAATTTGCTGATACACACGGTCACAAATACAGATTGATGACTTGAAGATTTGCTGCTAAAGCTTTTCTAGTGGTTTTTATTACTGAGCAGGATTTCAATATGGTTGTTTTTATTAACGATATTTTCTCCTATTGGCAGATTAAGTGAATGCAAGCAAACCAGCACTTTGGTCATATGCTACATTGATTTTGTATCAAAATCTTTACTACCCTGTGACTGATATTTATTTTATTAGTTGGTTGGTAGGATCACTATATGTTATAATCAGATGGTCCTTTTCTATGACAAGTTGACCTTCCTTTCCTAACAAATTACTACAACTAGACAATTGACATTGTTTACAATATGTGCTCTCCGGCTATCATATTTACATGTAAATGAACCTTTCTAAAGGTTTAATATCTTTGATTAGGGCTTTCCACCATCTGGTAACAAGGCCTATTGTTATGCTTCTTATTATTTTAATTCTTCTTCTTCTGAAATTTATGAGCTCAAAACCTTTTGATCAGTAAGAGAAAGGTTTATAGTCTGTTTAGTACTATGTACGTGTAACATTTTTAAGTAACAAGGTAGGTCATAAATCCAGTATGGTTGCCATGATGTTCTATGTCAAATAAAAAAGCTTGCTTTTGGTTTAAAGGTCACAAATTTTAAATCCTTTTCATTTTTTGCTTCTTTTGAAAATTTTATTTACAGGTTGATGCTTTGGCATTTACCATTAAGGTTGAATGCCATTTCAGAAAAAATGCTTTGATCTTTTAAGATGCCAACAAATTGGTAAAACTTGTTTTAGACCTATATCAATTACTTCAATTTTGCTTAATTTATATTGGAAATGTTTCCTCAGATGATCTCTACCATTTAGTGACATTTTTAACTTTATCAGAAAAACAATTGCCTATCATGACATCATATCTGATTTTGCCGATAATTGCAATATCTCCTAGATTGCTGTATGTATTGAATTCAGCTAAGGATATGTTATGTCAAATAACAAATAAAAAACATCTCTCAGGAAATAATTTTTTGTAAAATGTCAACTTTCGGTAGGACTGCATTTTGAATTGATATATGGAACAGGTTTTTAAAAGATTCTTCTCAAATTCTACAGGGCCTAGAGGCTAGATATTTCAAATTAAACATCTTTGGGTCATGGGCTATCAAGTTTCCTAATATAAATGAACTTGAGTCAATTTCAAGAACACAGGGGCCAATTATGTCAAAATCTTTAATTAGTATTTTCCCAATAACCAAGAGGCACATGATGAAATTTGTTAGTAGCATACTGTAATCAATTGCTATTGAATGTAGTAATGTAACCTCGTCTGAAATTTTGAGGTCTTATACTCAATAGGGGTCAGAGTTGAAACTTGCCGTTTTGGGTAACAAACTTTGAAAACGGTTCTTGATAGGGACCAAATTTGAAAATTGCTATTTTGGCGAGAAGTAGAAGGAAAAACTTCTACAGGTTCCATAGTACCACAGGGTCTAGAGCTATGTTCTGGTCATTAGATTTGATAATATGAATTAGCTTGACCTCCTTTCAAGGAGAGGTACAAGGTGATGATATGTGACCATTTACATATTGCTGTTGATAGTAGTAAGAAAATATTGTGTCAAATGTCAACTTCCAGGTTTAGGAAAGGGTCACATGTAGAAAGTTCTTTTTTGGGTAACACAAATAAATAATTTGAAGCTGTGCAATCAAGAATCTAGATATATAATATATTAATTGCTTGAAGGGTTAGCCATCATGTTTGTGGAAATGATTGACCTTTAGGTGAGATGTTGTGTATAGGTGAAAAGCTTGTCAAATCATTTGTCAACAATTTCTAGTTTGTAAATGTTTATAAGGGAAAAAAAGTAACATTATTTGAATATCTATTATATCATTAAATTTTCCTGCAATATTTTCTACCATTTCTATTTCATCAATCCAGTGCTTCATCATTCCCTCGTGAATTCATGTCAGTAACTTTTATCAAGTTTTCACAGACTTATAAGGACAAATAAAGGAGAAGTTTGAATTTGACGGTTGTAGGGTCAAGGTCAAGGTCACTGTTTTTCTTATTTTTAGAAATGCCATGTCAGCATGGCAGGTCAAGGTCAAGGTCACTGTTTTTCTTATTTTTAGAAATGCCATGTCAGCATGGCAGTGGCATTCCTTTAACTTCAACAGATATGGCAGCAATTTCATGAATTTTCATAAATAAACTTGTTCATTACAACATTATTGGTAAACATATTTTTTTAGTGAATGCAGAAAGCAATTCTATGAAATTAATGAACATCCTGTTTTCCAACACTGCCAAATATAGGAAAAATAGATGTGGCAGGTGTATTCATTCAATGGCCGTGTCAGCTTCAGGATGAATCGATATATATAAAAACTTATATAGTTAGTCTATATTGTTTGACAATTACTGTTGACTATTTTGAAACTCTCCCCAACTGATTGAATGGCTTTGATTTCAAACTCATGAATTGGTTCTTTTTAATTCCAGGATTGTAGAAATCTACAGCAGAAGGTTACAGGGTGAGTTTTTGTACACAAACAAAGCTGTGAAATCAATAGTCTTTGTGTTTAATTTTTTCTCTCTTAGCCTTATCAATAATTATTTGTAATATAAGATCACATCAATATAATACATATTCAAATATTCTTGGTAAATGTGGATTGCTGTTATATATCAATAATTTATTTTTTTCAGTACAAGAACGACTGACCAAGCAGATAGCTGTTGCCATCACTGAGGCTATACAACCCTCTGGTGTGGGCGTGGTGATCGAAGCTACGTAAGTGCACATCCCCTGTACTCTGTCTCTGACTCCAAGTGATGATTGGCACCAAAGATTGCCTCTTTGTCTTTTATGCTCTTATTTTTATTATCAAGAAGAAATTATCCGATGCAATAAAAGCTGCAAGACTCGAAAACATCTGATTTATTCTGCTAAAAGGTGGGGAAAACATAGTCGCTGACTCAAAGAGATGTATTACAAAGATGTTATTAGAATTTCTACTGAAACTGCTGTCTCTAGGTTTATATAATTACTAGATATGGGCTGAATGTACAAATAAGGTACAGGTTGATTTATATAATTGGAGGTAACTTTCACTTTGGTGGTAATTATGGTACAGTGTACTGGTATGTGTTATAGACAGATGTACAGAAGGATGGTAATTATGGTACAGTGTACTGGTATGTGTTATAGACAGATGTACAGAAGGATGGTAATTATGGTACAGTGTACTGGTATGTGTTATAGACAGATGTACAGAAGGATGGTAATTATGGTACAGTGTACTGGTATGTGTTATAGACAGATGTACAGAAGGATGGTAATTATGGTACAGTGTACTGGTATGTGTTATAGACAGATGTACAGAAGGATGGTAATTATGGTACAGTGTACTGGTATGTGTTATAGACAGATGTATAGAAGGATGGTAATTATGATGTATGGTGAGGATATTTGATAATTACAGTAGATGTGTTTCATATGTATTTCAATACAGACATATGTGTGAAGATATAATTATTATGGTATATGGTGATGATTAGTCATGATAATTATGGTGTATGTGTATTTATGTTTCATTACAGACACATGTGTATGGTGATGCGAGGAGTACAGAAGCTGAACAGTAAGACTGTGACAAGTACAATGCTTGGAGTATTCCGGGAGGATCCTAAAACACGTGAGGAGTTCCTCACTCTTACATGCTCGAGCAGATAGATCACACACAGTAAGCATGCTTTAGCTTACTAACACCATCACCAACTAACAAATCTGAACAGTGTAATAACCTTTACGTCACACATAAACTACACTGAAGATATAAGCCAAGGATACATTACTTAAACACAAATTCAGACCATTGGCTTATTACAGGAGAGTAAAATTACATCGGCTTGTAATTTTACTGAAGAGCAAAAAAATAGAAAAATGAAAAGACCATGGGATATAATTCAGTTATCAACAAAAAAACACAACCAACTTCAACATCACCACCATGTACAACTGTAACACCACTATCACTGACAACATCATCACCACCATGTACAACTTTACCACCTTATATGACAACAACATCACCACCATGTACAACTTTACCACCAACAACAACATCACCTCCATGTACAACTGTACCACCTTAACTGACAACAACATCACCACCATGTACAACTTTACCACCAACAACAACATCACCTCCATGTACAACTGTACCACCTTATATGACAACAACATCACCACCATGTACAACTTTACCACCAACAACAACATCACCTCCATGTACAACTGTACCACCATCACCACCAACAGCCTTACCATTATTGAGTATCATGGTCAGTTGAACCACCACAATAAGCCTCATAACAATGAACATCAACACAAGGTTAAACATCAGAACCACTACCAATACCAACGCAACAGTACTGTAACAAATACTACACTAACAACAACAGTGCCAAAGGGTGGAACAATATAAGCCCATCCTATGCCAAAGTTCAGGATTCAGGATGGAAAGAAAACAAATGCTGAAAGTGTAATAAGGATTCAAAATGTCAGGGGGAAAAGAATGCTAGATGTTCAATGGGAAAATCTGTTTTTTAAGTTTTTTAGTTTTAAAGAGGTGGGTGGAAAAAATGAAGGAAATCACATGACAAGATTAAAATGCTGAAAAATAACAAAGGGCAATATTGTTTTGAACATGATAACATGATCTCATGTTGTGGCTTTAAAATTGACCTGGTTTAAAAAAAAATCACTCAAAAACTGAAGAAGATATCTAGACAAGTTTAAAATGGTGAACAAAACAATGGGAAATAACTCTCCCTAAAATTGTAAAATCCCATAGCTTCTGAGGAAAACAAAATTTCATATAATGTTTATAAAGCCTACCAAATTTTCTATAAATTGGTAATTTCCAAGGAATGAGAACTCCATACAAAATTAAAATGGTAAAAAACAAAGGTTCAGAACCGTTTCATAATTTGTTGAATCAAATTTCTGTGTAGGAAAATACAGCTTCATGTCATAAAACATTATGACAGTCATCACTGCCAACAACTACATCACCACAACAACCACAAGTGGCATTTCCATCACACCTCCTTAGTACTACAACACCACTACATTATCATCACTGCTCCACCACCATGTCTACAGTGTCACCAGAATATCACATCAACACAACAGTACTACAACACCACTACATTATCATCACTGTTCCACCACCAAGTCTACAGTGTCACCAGAATATCACACCTCCTTAATACTACACTCCACTACATTATCATCACTGCTCCACCACTATGTCTACAGTGTCACCAGAATATCACACCTCCTTAGTACTACAACACCACTACATTATCATCACTGTTCCACCACCATGTCTACAGTGTCACCAGAATATCACACCTCCTTAGTACTACAACACCACTACATTATCATCACTGTTCCACCACCATGTCTACAGTGTCACCAGAATATCACACCTCCTTAGTATTACAACACCACTACATTATCATCACTGTTCCACCACCATGTCTACAGTGTCACCAGAATATCACACCTCCTTAGTACTACAACACCACTACATTATCATCACTGCTCCACCACCATGTCTACAGTGTCACCAGAATATCACATCAACACAATAGTACTATAACACCACTACATTATCATCACTGCTCCACCACTATGTCTACAGTGTCACCAGAATATCACACCTCCTTAGTACTACAACACCACTACATTATCATCACTGTTCCACCACCATGTCTAGAGTGTCACCAGAACATCACATCTCCTTAGTACTACAACACCACTACATTATCATCACTGTTCCACCACCATGTCTACAGTGTCACCAGAATATCATACCTCCTTAGTACTACAACACTACTACATTATCATCACTGTTCCACCACCATGTCTACAGTGTCACCAGAACATCACATCAATACAATTGTACTAAAACACCACTACATTATCATCACTGTTCCACCACCATGTCTACAGTGTCACCAGAATATCACACCTCCTTAGTACTACAACACCACTACATTATCATCACTGCTCCACCACCATGTCTACTGTGTCACCAGAATATCACATCTCCTTAGTACTACAACACCACTGCATTATCATCACTGTTCCACCACCATGTCTACAGTATCACCAGAATATCATACCTCCTTAGTACTACAACACTACTACATTATCATCACTGTTCCACCACCATGTCTACAGTGTCACCAGAACATCACATCAATACAATTGTACTAAAACACCACTACATTATCATCACTGTTCCACCACCATGTCTACAGTGTCACCAGAATATCACACCTCCTTAGTACTACAACACCACTACATTATCATCACTGCTCCACCACCATGTCTACTGTGTCACCAGAATATCACATCTCCTTAGTACTACAACACCACTGCATTATCATCACTGTTCCACCACCATGTCTACAGTGTCACCAGAATATCATACCTCCTTAGTACTACAACACTACTACATTATCATCACTGTTCCACCACCATGTCTACAGTGTCACCAGAACATCACATCAATACAATTGTACTAAAACACCACTACATTATCATCACTGTTCCACCACCATGTCTACAGTGTCACCAGAATATCACACCTCCTTAGTACTACAACACCACTACATTATCATCACTGCTCCACCACCATGTCTACTGTGTCACCAGAATATCACACCTCCTTAGTACTACAACACCACTACATTATCATCACTGCTCCACCATCATGTCTACAGTATCACCAGAATATCACATCAACACAATAGTACTATAACACCACTACATTATCATCACTGCTCCACCACCATGTCTACAGTGTCACCAGAATATCACATCAACACAATAGTACTATAACACCACTACATTATCATCACTGCTCCACCACTATGTCTACAGTGTCACCAGAATATCACACCTCCTTATTACTACAACACCACTACATTATCATCACTGTTCCACCACCATGTCTACAGTGTCACCAGAATATCACACCTCCTTAGTACTACAACACCACTACATTATCATCACTGTTCCACCACCATGTCTACAGTGTCACCAGAATATCACACCTCCTTAGTACTACAACACCACTACATTAACATCACTGCTCCACCACCATGTCTACAGTGTCACCAGAACATCACATCAACACAATAGTACTATAACACCACTACATTATCATCACTGTTCCACCTCCATGTCTACAGTGTCACCAGAACATCACATCTCCTTAGTACTACAACACCACTACATTATCATCACTGTTCCACCACCATGTCTACAGTGTCACCAGAACATCACATCAACACAATAGTACTATAACACCACTACATTATCATCACTGTTCCACCTCCATGTCTACAGTGTCACCAGAACATCACATCTCCTTAGTACTACAACACCACTACGTTATCATCACTGTTCCACCACCATGTCTACAGTGTCACCAGAATATCATACCTCCTTAGTACTATAACACCAATACATTATCATCACTGTTCCACCACCATGTCTACAGTGTCACCAGAATATCACACCTCCTTAGTACTACAACACCACTACATTATCATCACTGTTCCACCACCATGTCTACAGTGTCACCAGAATATCACACCTCCTTAGTACTACAACACCAATACATTATCATCACTGTTCCACCACCATGTCTATAGTGTCACCAGAATATCACACCTCCTTAGTACTACAACACCACTACATTATCATCACTGTACCACCACCATGTCTACAGTGTCACCAGAATATCACACCTCCTTAGTACTACAACACCACTATGTTACTGTCATTGCTCCGTTACCACAGTGTTGCCAGAACATCACCACCATTAACTCTAGTTAGAAATAAATTTAGACAGATGTTTTGTGAAATCAAGTATGTATTGATTTTTTTTTCTGAATAGGATAAAAGGAATTAATATATCCTATGAACATTATACAATTAAAGAATGTTATGGATCAAATCATCTATTATTAACTTTAGTTTTTCATATACTTGTCAAAATGTTTGACAGAATATATTATGGTATGGTGTTTTCCATCCTTCCTTTGATAGCTTTTCTTTGTTCAGAAATCTTTTCCTTTCAAATTTGTTAGGTGTAATCACCAGGATATGATGTTGTGTTTGCAGCAATTTGATTAAGCTATATTTGGACGAGTGAATGCCCCTTGTTGTTTTAATACTGTTAGTCTTATCCAGAGATCTCTCACAAACATTCTATGGATTTTTTTTTACAAATTTGGTAGGCTGAATCACCATTACATCAAGTTTTGTTTTCCTGAATGACACTTGGATTCAACTGTATTTTAAAGAGTTACGGCCTCTCATTGTTTACATAATGTTAAGCTTGTCTGGAAATCTGCTCTCTTTATCGTCAACCTATTTCTTTCTAATTTTGAAGGCTTAATTGATATACAGTTGTGTATTTTTCTACACAGCATTCATCATATTTAACAGGAATTATTGCCCTTTTTTTAATCTTTTTAATTCTGTTTGGAAATCTGCTTCCTTGGTTTCCTTGAAACTTGGTAAGTTATAACCATTACATGAAGTTGTCTCCCCTCAATGGCATTACAATTTTTGAAGAGTCATTGCCTTTGTTGTTATGACTTTTCTTATCTAATCCAGATATATCCAGTTTTGAAGGAATTTCTTTG